CACACACACACACACACACACACACACACACACACACACACACACACAAGGAAACATGGGCATAAGGAACATAATCCAGGGGAAGAACAGTTTGCTAGCATGTGCTACGCCCTAGGTGATGCTGAGAACCACAAACCAGAAAGGGGGGAAAGGCTGGGGCTTCATTTGATGGAAAAAAGGAGGGCTTTGATCAAAGAACACATACATATGTGTGATAAATATTTCATATATGAAACTGTAAAAGAATAAATAAATGGAAAAACTTCAGAAAAACCTAAAAAGCGTACACACACAGAGAGAAAGGGAGAGAGAGAGAGAGAATATTTACTAGACAAAGTAAACAATAAATGAACTTAAAATGATTATTTGAAGCTATCTACTTTAGGGAAAGAAAAGAAAAATGAATGAAAAAATATGAACAGGGCCAAATGAACTTAGGGAACACCATTAATCAGACAATACACATATTCTTTGAAATGGAGGAGGAGGGGACAGAAAAAGAGGAAGAGGAAAAATAGATGTCCTACCCTTAGATGAAGAGCTATAGGCAATTAATCTCATCTCCCTCAAATGAGAGAGGGAGAGTCGGTCTTCTCTAGAAACAAGACCCTCCCCCATGGATTATCCAATCCCAAGTGGTCAGCACTAAATAAGCAAATATACAAGCAACACTAAATGAACTCAGCAGGAGCATATGTATATACGTGTGTGTGTGTGTGTGTGTGTGTGTATGTATAAAGAAGAGGTCAATAATTCAAGTGGGAGTGGGAGGGACATAGAAAATGTTGGAGGGAGAGAGAAACAGGGTAGAAATGGAGTAAACATAATACTCATGTAAAAAAATTCTTAAAGAATAAAAATTTAAATTGAAAAAGGAACTATATCAACAGTGTATTTGAAGAAATAATGGCTGACCAGGCATGAGGGCATGAACCTGATATCCCAGCACTTGGGAGGCTCAGAAGGATTGGAAGTCCAAGACCAGCTTGTATATATACTGAATTTGATGTCAGTTTGGGCTACACAGCAAGACCTTGTCCAAAAAAAAAAACCACAAAGAAGAAGGAGTGGAGGGAAGAATAGCAACAGCAGAAGAAGAAAGAATAGTTGAAAATCCCTCAAATTTGAGGAAATTTTTAAATTTAAAAAGCCAGTTATTAAAGTCATGTGATAAGGCATGATGACATTGTCTGTGGAAATTAATTTTAATATTAATTGGCTTTTTACGTTTTCCTCATATATTTTGATCATATTCTTTCCCCGCCCCGACTCCTCCTAGATCTTCCCTACCTCCCGACCCACCCAACTCCATATTCTTTCTCTCTCACTTGATGATAAAAGAAAATCAAAACAAAGACAAAAATACCAAAGTAAAACAAGCAAGCAAAAAAGACAAAAACATACAATGTATTCTGTGTTGTCCACCTATTCCTAAGATGCTGCCTGCCCTGGGTGGGGTTGATACACCCAGTGTCACTCCATTGGAGAAAACCGACTTTCCCTCTTCTGGCAATCCCAAATAGCTTCTGGGTTAGAGGTGAACTCTGTTCACTTCCCCTTCTCCATGCTGGGATTGTGTCTGGCTTCAACTTGTACAGGTTTTGTGCATGCTGCCACAGTTTCTTAGGTCCTGTGGACATCAGTCCTTTTGTGGGTGGAGTCATCAACCACCTCTGTCAGGTATATAATTGATAAAGACATTTTCCCCATTCTGTAGGCTGCCACTTTGGGAAAATGATGCTGCTCTTTGCTGTGCAGAAGTTTTTTAGCCTCATGAGAACCCGTTTATTAATTGTTGGTCTTATGGGACCCCAATGCATGTGAATCTCTACATTTTCTTCTATCAGATTCAAGGAATCGGGTTTTACATTGAGGTCTCTGATCCACTGGAGCTGAGTTACGTGTAGGGTGATGCAGATTTTGTGCATCCTTCCACCTGTAGCCATCCAGTTTGACCAGCACCATTGCTGAAGATGCTAGCTTTTCTCCAGTGTGTATTTTCTTTTGATTCTTTGCCAAAAAGCAGGTATTCATAGGTGTGTAGAATTATCTCTGGATCTCCAATTCTGTTCCATTGATTGGCATGTATGTTTTAATGTCAACCTCTGTTTTTATTAGGAGAGCTCTGTAACACGACTTTAAATCTGCGATAGTGATACTTCCAACATTTATTTTATTATTCAAGATTATTTGAACTACCCTGGATATTTTGTTATTTCCATACGAAGTTTCAGGTTTGTTTTTTATTTTTTCAGTAAAGAACTGTGTTGGAATTTTTATGGAGATTGCACTGAATCTGTAATCCCACTGATTCATGAGCACAGAAGATTTTTCTATTTTCAAATATCTTCTCCAATTTAATTCTTCAATGTCTTAAAATTTTTGTTGCACAAGTTTTAAGGCTATTACAAAAGATACTGTTTCCCTGAAAGAAACATTCTTTCTCAGTATGTTTTCCATTTGTATATAGGAAAGCTACTGGTTTTTGTATTAATTCTGTACCCAGCTACTATTACTGAAAATGTCTATCAGCTGTGGAAGTTTCCTGGTGGAGTTCTCAGGGTCTTTTACATATATAATCATATTGTTTGCAAACATGAATACCTTGACTTCTTCCTTTCCTATTTGTATTCCCTTGGTCCCCTGCAGTACTGCTCTAGCTAAGATGTCAAGTACTTTGCTGAGTTGGTATGGAAAGAGTGGACATCCTTGTTTTCTTCCTGATTTTGGTCGAAATGCTTGGAATGTCTCTCTGTTTAGAGTAATGGTGACCAAGTGCTTGCTGTAAGTGCCTTTTTATGTTCAGATACCATCCTTATATCCCTCATCTTTCTCATTTTTAGAAGCTGATGGAGTTCCTGTTCTTGCACTATACTTGCTCTCTCCTGAAGCCCATGTTTCCCTCCTAGGTGATTTCAGATGTTCCTGAAGTTTTGTGTAGCAGTTCTGTAAATGGTCTGCACCACTTCCAAATTCCAGTGTTTCCACATTTTCCTAAGCTAGAAGGTTAAAAGTTTGAATTGTGTCAATCAAAATCTATATACTGAAATCATAACCTCAAATGGCATTGAGAGACAGAACCTCTGAAAAGTGATTATATCATGAGGATGGAGCCCTCATGAGTGGATTAGTAACCACAGTCTGCGGGGTACTTTAGAGACAGAATACACACCTCCACAGGTGAGCCATCCAAGGGAGGAGGGAGGAGACAGAGGAGACAACAGGGGCTGAGGGTGGAGGGGAGAGACTGACTGATTGATTGACTGACTGATTGATGGATTGATTGATTGATTGAACCTCTGGCTCTGGGAACTTTCCATCTTCCTAATGCTTTAAACTGTCGTAGCTCCCCTAGCTGCTGTTTCTGTCACAGAATAGTTTCTCCCTAGCTGCTGTTTTGAAGCCATCATGCAGCAGTGGGCTTGTACTGCAGGTTTCAATTACCCATAACAAATGACAGTATGAAAGTATGAAATAGAAAGTTCCCGATAAACAATTCGTAAATTTTAAGTTGTCCATAAATTTAATGGGAGGAGTAATCTGACGGGAGCTGGCACCATCCTACCGTGTTCAACCTGACTGTAAGTCATCTCTTTGTCCAGGCTGTCCCTGCAGTAAACAACCTGTCTGTCAGCCACTTAGGGCCACCTCAGTCTCAGAGGAACTGTAGGACTTCACTACTCAGGTTTAAGTAGCCCTGGCTGTACTTTAAAATGGCCCTAAAGTATAAGATTAGAGATTCTGGTGACTCTATTACAATATATTGCTATAATTGTTCTATTTTTGATATTATTAGCCTTCATGTCTTACTGTGTCTGATCCATTTAACTTCACTGTACATATCTATAAAAAGGAACGTGTTATATATGTGAGGTTCACTCCTATCTGTGGTCTCAAGCACCCATTAAGGGTCTTGGAATATGTCCCCTCTGATAAGGATTCTTATGTATTTAATTATGATTAACTGCATACATGAAAGGGCCAGCTTTTTTTACATACATTTTACATAATAAAAGAGCATGTGAAACAATTGTGCTCTGCCCATGCACAAGACTGGTTATATTATTCCCATGACTCAGAATGTATTCCTAGAACAACCTTCCCTGCTCCTCCCACCACAAAATGTACTGAACCATCTCAGTAACTGTGTTCCCTGGGAAAACCTCAGCTAAGAACGTCCAAGCTTCCTGCTTCTTTCATATTTAGCAAAGCCTGGTTTAGTAAATAAAAAGGTACTCAGTTACATCTGATTTACAATGAAGATTTTCTATAAATAGGCAGTAGTTTGTAAATATAAACATGGCTCAAGTGATAGCAGGGCATATTTATAAAAGTTTTTCCTTGTTTATCTGACTTTCAAACTCTCCCTAACAACCTGTTTCATCCGGCTGCTCATTCTGACTTATGCTATTAGGAATGTTCCAAACCATTAACCCAAGAGTGATTTTTTTTTTTTTGTCAGCACACCAGTTTTTTACTGCTGTACTAATTTCCAGACATCATTCTCTGTGGTTTTACAAAGCAACTGGGTTAATTAATTCCATTCCTGTTTGTTATTGCTTGTAACTGTTGCATAAAATATTAAGATGCTTTCTCACTAAGTTTCATTTTAGTATATTCGTTTTGACCGGTCAGTATGAATTGTACAGCACCTTTTGGTAGCATCGGGCAGTCCTTTAAAAACCATCAGTTAGAGCTTTGTACTGACACAGCGCTCTTCTGTCCTACCCTGGGCCTCCCATGCGTGCTGTGCCATGCAGCACTGAGTCACTGTGTTGTGGGGACTCTGACACATGCATGCTTCAGTTCCTAAGGCATCCTATCTACGCAAGCCCCACTGGAGCTCTGGCCGCACAGACTAATGTGAGTCCTCATGCCCAGCTGTCATTTCAGCACTGACTGAGACCACACTAGGATGCACACTCTTTGAAAACGTAAGTCCTCCAGGTCTCGTGCAGTGGTGAAGAATGTATGGTTGTGTTGAGAAGAACTGCAGGATTCTCATCTGGGAGTTTACCAAAGGTTGCCTGCTATTCAGAAGGCAGGCAGGAAAGGATCAAAAAGTCTTCCTTCTTTTACCTGGAGTGGCACCACCCTGGACATCAGGTGGTCGAAATAAAGATCCACTGCTTTAGTGAAGCCACGGTACGTTGTTCTCAGTTTCATGTTTGGGTCTTGGAGGAGCCAGCTTGGAGAAGGAAAGAAAAGAAATATCAGTGTCAGGGTCTGTGGTTTCCCTTAGGCAGGCGCAGGAGCAGTGCGAAGGAAGCAGCTCATGCAGCTCAAGAACGAGTCTGGAGAACAGGTCAGGGAAGGGGTAGTCACCACCCCACCACCTCCAAGTAGCTAGGAAGTCAGGAAGCTACGCACACAGTTCAGAGGCAAGCACACCACTGTGCCAGCCTACACACCAAATGCCTTGGGAAGTTAGACTTCAATTTCCTGGGCTACAGGAATGCTCACTGCCCAATGGAATGGTTTTCAGACATTTACACTAAAGAATCAAAACAGGCATGGCCGAGCACTCCTGGAACCCCAGCACTCAGCTGACGCTGGAGAATCACAAGAAAAACCAGCCTTAGCTAAAGAGGGAGCGGCCGGTGCAGACCCAAGGCAGGGGCAAAAGCAATGCCAAAAGGATGTCCCAGAGGAACTAGGCTGACTGACTGAGAGACTCCTGAGCCTGAGCCCCCAGCGTGCCACCAGGGCAGCAGCAGGAGGCCAAGAAGACACCTTCCCTGATCTTCTGGGGCCACAGATTTCCACAGAAACTCAGCACCATTCAAAGGTCCTGAGAAGCACATTTCCTACCAGAAGACTCTGAGGTCTCCCTTCCCCTAACTCAGAAATGGGACAACAATGTATCAGGGAATGCCAGTTGGTGATGAAAGGCTGGCAGAAATGTCTCCCCTAGCCTGAGCTGCATGTCCGGATCTATCAAACAGGACTAGTTTCTCACCACACTGACACCCTACCCTTCTGGAAAACACTGATGAATAGGCAAGAACCTCCAACCACGACAAGGGAGGGGGATCTGAGAGTGGGCGTCCCTACTGCTTCTAATTTAAGACTGTTAAACCCTGCTGGCCTCCTGTGCCCAGCTCCAGCTGAGCCCAGGGAAAATGCTGACAGTGGCACAGGTGTCTAATCCGCCAAGAGGGGCAAGCAGCTCTGCCTCCGCTCACAGCTCTGTCTTGGACACTGTGCCAGGTCAGACTGACGCTGGATGCTGGAGAGGGGACAAGCTGTGCCCCCTGAGGGAAGGGCAGGTCTTGCTGGAAATAGAGCAGATAAAACCTGAGCATAGTTCTTGTGTTGTGAGGAGAGAGCTCCCCATGCTACTTCTAGGCCAAGAGGTTCAGCCTTCTTTCCTCTGGGGACAGCACAGGTGGGTGGAGGCTGTGCTAGCCACCTGTAATTAACAGTACAGGTGGGCGGAGGCTGCGGCTAGCCACCTGTGATTGATGCTGTGTGGCCAGAGATGGCAACGCCAATTAAGACAGAACCTGTTTTGATGGGAAACGAAGGCAGCCTTCCTGAGGAAAGGATGTGGGTTCACGTGATAGATACCCATCTGGACCCCACTCTCAGAGCATAATGTTTAGCTGACACTGACCTTTGTGGAAACTACACTTAGAAGAACAGACTCAGGAGAATTGAGGACAGAAACCACAACACCAACTTCTCCAAACTACAGCAACACTTGGGGTTTTAATAAATCAACAGTAATATCACTAAGAAACAGATAGAGAAGATTTAGTTTGCCTCAAGTTGCAGTAAGGGCCAGATCAGATAAGGAGCCTGCCTGGGTGCCTCTCCAGTACGGCCAGAAGAATGAAACACTTCCAAATAGATAAGCGTTCCGCTGCTGCCACCTGACACATAGAAAGACCCAAGGGTACCGACAAGGGCAATCACTGCAATGTCCTTCCAAAGAGCCTGTGGCACTGCCACCTGCCCCAGAAAGGAAATGCTACACAGGAAGAAAAATACCTTAAAAAAAAAACTAAGCCAACCCCTGTAAGCCCCTCTCTCTGGCTACTCTGGAGACCCGCACTGCCCTTTCTCACCTGGGCAAGCCCCCGAGGTCAATCTCACTACAGATGTAGGGCCCCGGTCGCAGAATCACCCACAGTCCAATCTTCGCAGCCAGCTGGATAAAGGCCCTAGGGAGGGAAAGAGAGTCAGCCCTGAGCATCCAGAAGAAAGGATACAGGAGGAGTCACAGACATGTGGGGATTAAACCTCTCCTGTTCCTCCCCTGCCTTTTCTCTCTCAACCAGGGAACATGGGATGAGGAAGACTTGGCCCCAACTCAACAGAGCAGAAGATTCCTGCACCAGATAGGGGCTCAAAAGTCCTGGAAGCTGGGTATGCACTGGCTCCTTGCATCAGGACCACCCACACAGGCCCACTGGGATTTGTCCAACAAAATACAGGGCTTTGTGTCCAACAACAGCCTTGTTAACCTAGAAGCAGCCCCAATTCCATCCCAAGCATATGGACCCCAACGCAGAATCTGGTGGTATCTGGGATCTTGGCCCTCAGGACTGTAGTGAAAAAGAGGATTGCAGCCTATAGGCTGAGTGCCTGGGTAACAAGCCACAACAGGGGAGCATCTAGGCCCTAAGTTCAGAACCTTTCTAAGCATGCTAAGAACAAGGCTCCAGATTCAGTCTCAGTCAAAGCAGAGCTAAGACACGACATCCAGAGTGCTCATCAGCAACCCCCAGTAACTTCCGATCCCGGACCAGGTACGGAAGCACCAAGACCACATACTCCAGGTCCAGGTTCCCAGAGAAGTTGAATTTGCCTCTTTCTGGCTCATGGAGGTTCCAGGGCACATAGCTGTAAGAGACAAGATAACTGCAGGTAAGTTTAATCATTCACATGAACATTTTTATCTCTAACACCCACGATGATGGCTAAAGAGACAACGTTCGATAATTTCAAACCTCGGGGACCAGATATGGGGACCGCAGAAAACTCAAGGCAAGTCCTAGGAAGACTATGACATCTCCTTAGGCGGACAGAAAGTCAACTAGACGTAGTGACATATGAGCTCCGTGGAATAAAAGGTCAGGCTCTGTGACCCCAGGTGAGCCCACACTGTAGTATTCCTATGATCCGTAGGAGTTCTCTATGAGGCTGTACACATTACTCTCAACAGTGCTGTCATTGTCATTTTAATAACCGTCTTCAAAGTCAGCTCACGAGCCATGCAAGGGAGTCCACGTCTTTGATTAGTAATCACATCTTTTATGCCTGACAATGCAGCCTTTCTACCTGATAGTCCTCTTTATTTCATAGAGATAGCACCTCAGGAGTGTTTTCATTTATTTTTAATATTGTTAATAACCTGTGTGTGGAGAGCGGTGTAAGTGCAGGTGAGTGCAGGCTCCACAAAGACGTACGGTGCCTCTGGAGCGGCAGGGACAAGCAGGTTGTGAGGTGCCTGACATGAACGCTGAGAACAAACTCCGGTCACTCTTAACTGCTCAGCCACCTCCTCCAGCCCCTAAACCTACTTTTTAGCTGGCTTGCCTAGCCTACATTTCATCTTGTGTCTGCCACGGAACAGTCGTCAGGCGGTCGCAACAATCCAAAGGTCTTTCCAGAAAATAGAAGCTGAACTGGTGTCAGCATCTTGGGACCCTAAAACTTGGGAAGCAGAAGCTGCTTGTGGAAAAGGGTTCCTTGTCAATCTAAACAAAGTGACGCACACCTGCAATCCCAGCATTCAAGACTCTACTCAGGGAGGACGGGGAGTCTAAAGGCAGCCTGGGCTGCAGAGTTGAGAACCTTTCTCAAAAAGGAAAATCACTTGTAGTAGTCCTTTATAACAACAAAAAGGAAAAGACACTAGGAATGCAAAACTTCCATTTTGCAGATGGAAAAGTCATCTGAGGGTACGAGGGGGGTAAGAGTTCTCCACTGCACGGAGGCTCCAGGAGAAACTAGACTTGTAGACAGCTTGGCCATGACTGCGGGTGAGCCTTCAGAACTGTGAAAAGGCAAGTTTATTTATTCACACCACAAGATGAATAAACAAATCATCTTCCATATCTATGCTCAACTCTCTGTCTCTTTCTACCCCCCTCCCCTCCCCTCCACAATACTACATGGTTACATCTCCTTACTTTATCTGTAGGGAGTTCTATAGAGCTTATAATCCTAAGCAAGCAGCTTGGACTAACTTCCTCTCATAGCTTTCCTCCTGCAAGCACCAGGGGCCCCAACTTGGTAGCCAAGCTTGGTGGAGGGATGGGGAGGCGGTACTTACGTGGTAAGGGTATTCAAGCCACAGGCTTTCATTTTGAGCAGGCGGTCCCTCCAGTATTCCCTGGGCACACGGAAATAGTGTATGGATCCCCCAAAAATCTGAAAGGTGGAGTCCTCCAGCATGAAGTCTGGGCCTTTTGTTCGAAGTCCCAGGCGCCGATTCTGGAGCCATAGAGGAAGCAGAGTGCTCCAGTTCAACCTGAAAAATCAAAGACCCTCATGTAGCCTTGAGGTTTCCACAGCAGTGAACACCGGTACAGAGATATGCATTGAGTCCTTCTGTCCTTCACAAGTCCTCCGCTTTCTCTCTTTCACCTGCTCCCAGGGTGGCCAGGCAAAGCTCCCACCTTCCCACTTAGCCAAACCTGGGCAGGTGACTTTCTTCAGCACTACTTCCTGGGCTGGGCCCCACTGCAGGGGAAGTGCAAGCTGATGCTGCAACCAGGAACAAGACAGACACAATGTTCAACATGAAGACACGTAGGCTAAAAGGAGAGAGGATGAGGAAGGGTCATGCTATGTGGGGAATTGTTCTCTAATGTCACAGACAAGAACAGCTGCAGTTCACGGGCTTCTACTATTGCCAGTTGTTCTAAGCCAGACTAAACATTAAAGCAACAGCTACCAAAACAGTACCTCAGAGCCCCCTCATGGTCACAGCTGCCAACTTTGGGGTTCAGAAACCTAGAAAGAGGCATCTGGATTAAATGGCATCCATTCACCTAGCAGATATGAAGTTATTACCTTCTGATAATCTAACATCAACCAAGAGATAACACAGAACGGCAGGGGGCTGTCCAGGAAGGCTATGAAGCAGCTGCAGTCCAATAAAAAGGTCCTATGGATGTCTCAGTGGTTGGCTGGCCAGTGGGAGCCCTCAACTTGTTCCCCGTGACTTTCACAACTAGAAGTCTCTCTCTTTATCTAGGCTCTTAAAGGTCACTAGAAAAAGTCAACAAGAACTGGTTTAGGAAAGTTGGAGACAGAAAATAAGACCATAAGAATACTTGGTGCAAAAACCATTTTTAGCTGAGCTTTTTTCCATTATAGATCCTACAACGAGAGGACGTATTGCCAGGCAGACTCCTCTGCATAAAAAAATCACCTGAGTGTCAAGAACTATGGCCCTGAGGCCCCAGAATAGGCAGTTTACTAAGAGTGTAGACACTACATAGGCATCGCTGCCTACTTGGGGATTCTCCGGGACAATTCATGCACAATGAAAATTACTTTTGATCTATTACTTCTGGCTTCTGACACCGCCAGCCTCCAAACCTGCCAGTAGCCATGTCTGAGGAGCAGCAGGTGGCACATGAGCTCTAGGAGGTTGGCCCACCAGGAGGCAAAGCACTGATGAACGAGTCTCAGACAGGCAAGGACTGAGGGCTTCAGCTCCAGAATGTTTCTTGCTATTGCTCTGACTTTACATTTGCCGCTGCCACTTTTCTCTGGTGTCTAGCATGGTGTGAATGGGGGTGGGGAGGGATCCACACTGCTTTTATTGTAGTGTGATTCTCTCATGGGAATGCCCTATTCTACTGGCCATTTTTTCCTGAGGGTTATCATGAAGACAGTTTCCTCTTAAGCTGTACTGTTTAACTGAAGCAATGATTTTATTGATTTTATTGACGTAATAGTGTCAGCTTAAATAGAATTTTGATAATTGAGGATTTTTAATAATTATAGTAAGTGATTATGACAGAGGTTAGTTTAATAAGAAAATTAATATAGGTAAAAACAGGATATGGTGTTGTCCCCATCCCTGATAAAGCAGGGACTGTGGCTTAAGTTAATGATTAAGAACAAGAACTGTGTCCCAGAAACTAAGCTCAAGTTCTTTTCATTTTAATGTTGGGAGGGATGGTCATGGGTTTCAGTTTGCATCGTAGCTAAAACAAAGATTTAAATAATGACTTAAGGTTAGATTAAGATTTTTTTGTTCATGGTTTTGAGGTAGAAAATCTTGGGGAACAATTTAAAGTTTAGGCACATAGTTGAATGAAGGACTCATTGAGGTCAAGAAACAAGAACAAGGCCTGGTTATTATTAGTTGATGTACCATTGTTGCTAGGATGGGTTGGTGATCAAAGATGATGATGAATGCCTTGTGCCCATTTCTGCCCTCAGCTTCCTGATATAAAAAACTGTTGATGAGTGGGTATTCACCCTGAGGACTGAAAACAGAGCTGACTGATTGTTTTTTTATATATAAAAGTTTAGATTCATGATTCTTTTGAGATGTTTTTTATAAGATTACCTTCTAAGATAAATAATACAGTGATTTATCCTTTCCTTTTAACCACAAAACACAGCCTACCAGCAAAAGAACTGGCTGAGAAAAAATATCTTGCTTGCTTACACTCTGTTAATCTATAACAAGTTGCTTGGATATGAATGTATGTGGGTTCCTGGGAATAATTTGTTTCTCACTTATGATACTTAAGATGTTTAATCATTTAAGGGAAATGAGAAGCATGCTCTTTTTCTCTTGTATTCATTGCGATTATTCAACTGAAAAATATAATATGACCACATTATAGTGCTTGAAAGACTTTGCTGGGGCATATAGGCTGTAAGTGAAAATTTAGGGGCCGAAGGGATATATCTGGAAAGAGGTAAGAAAAGAAATAAGGAAATGAGAAGATGACAGGGAGACCCTAATGGTGTATGTGTGTATTTTCCCTTTTTCACCAGCCCCAGAGAAATGAATTTTGCCCTCCTCACCAGCCTTCAGAGAGAAAAGTCAAGTTGAGCAATTAGTTCATCGGTTCAGTGGATCTCCTCAATCCCTGCGTTGCTGAAGGCTGGTCCTCACGGCAGCAGTACAAACCCATGCAGGACTCCATTGCTCTTTAGTAGTCCTGGACAACCTGTGACCTAATGTCCCTCTCTGTCTCTCTGGAAGAAAGCTTCATGGTCCCGCAAAGGACTGGCAAATGATATCTGAGGATTTGTTCACCTTCTTGCGAGGATGAAAACAAAATAGCATCTAGATGCGAGTCCCCTGGAAGTATGCTCGCCCTAAACTCATAACTCTAGCTTTTTGAGTGAGTTTCTTCTGTGGAATGGGGATGATGCCTGTCAGAAAGGCCACTGAGAGGGTTAGGTTAAAATAAAATGCCCTGTGGAGTGCAATGAACATGTCTTCCTATTGTTTGAAAGCAAAACTCATGTTAGTGAACTTACGTGGCACATGGTCTTGGTGCATTTAATGACATTAATATGAAATAATCTCATGGTTGCCATTACCCTATTTTAGTAAATACTTTTAATTCTAAACTTTGTGGCGGGCTATCTTATTACACGGCCAAAATTTTGCACCAAAAGATCTATACAGTGATATCCTACCTACCCACCAATCCAATTCCTCTGCCAGCATATAATTTAGTCCAGCCAAGAGCCAAACCCTGACACATTGCCACATCCACCTTGTATATAAGGATGGCTGCTTTGGGGACACAGGTAAGTAGTTACTGTGCAGACTGTGTGGCTCACGCTACTGAGAACAGTTAATATCTGGCCCTTGCCAGAAAACCCTGAAATCTCTATCCTAGTTGAGGAGCCGGAGGTTATTCAAATGCCACCCTGAGGTTCCCACTCCTCCTGGCGGCAGGATCTCAGCAGGATCTTTCTTAGGCTGTAGACTCTGGACAGTTCAAGCTGTTTTGCACCTGTGCATCTCCCTTGGTTTGAGGACGTCCTCTGAAGAATGCACACTTCACTTGTCTGCTCACCTACCCGCAACACACACACACACACACACACACACACACACACACACACACACACA